CTCCTAACTAATACCTTAACTTTTCTCAATACCAACAAACCAATACCAATCCAAAATCTAAAACTTCCATCTCAAAATTCTTTCCAATACACTCCCAACCAAATCTCATCTTCACACTACACTACCACATATCTATACAAATAACATGTGCCTACACTGCAACTCCCTTCCAGAAACCACGCACCACATTTGGCTTTGCAAATACAATATAACCACAATCAAAAAAATACTATCTGATATCCAAATACTACTCGCAAAAAATTCAAAAACAACAAAAACTTCAATTTTCAACTAGTTCAAAAAACAATCAATACCACCATCCAACTAATTAACTTTGCAATAGATATATTACAACCTAAAAATCTTTTCAACAACCTTCAACCAACACAATATGACCTCAAAATCCTCAATGAAATACAAAATGAAACATTAGAACTCATTTATCAATACATATGGATCTCAAGAAACAAAGACATGATCACAAAGAAAAGTTTCCTTGATATATCTCAAAACATCAAATATAGAAGAAACAATAATAACAAACCAAACAAAAACTCAACTACCTACAACAAAATACAAAAAAACAATCTACCAAGCAATAACAACCAAACTCACTAATATAAACTAATTAATATCACACTTAAACTTTTTTCTGAGACTCTATCCATGCCTCTACAGGATAGAATAAATTATTAGGGAGGTATTAACTCTCCAAGATTAGATAGTTTTTCTCCTTTTCCTTGCTCAAGGGTTTTTTATCAGAGATATAACTAATTGGGTGGTAGGCTGACATGTATAGCAATATATCTTATATCTTAATATTAACCATATAATAATTTAATTTTACTATATTAATAAAGATCGTGAGAAATATATCATTTAACATTAAAAAAAATTAATATTTTAATATTTTGTAAGTCTCTCATGTGCCAAAATCATAGCCAATACCCATCTTGGCATACTGTCTACCAGTGATTTGATCATCAATGCAGAGTGTAATGGTTTAAGTAAAGAAACATGTTGGTTATTAATAGTCTATCATTTTTAAAGAAAAACTTTATTAATAGAGAGTGGAGCAAACAACTCTAAAGCTAATTAAAGGAAAAATACAGCCTTTAAATACATGATTTTCCAATATAAATAAATAAAATACATAAAGAATAAAATACATATAATCTTAGTGGTTCTCTCAGAAGATCATATAAATTAATAAAGAAAATAAAATAAAATAAGATAATAAATGAATGATAATATTAATCAAACACATTAATAATATCCTATAACCCCTTAATATCAATTACTAATTGATAACACATGTTAATTAGTGAAATTATGTTGAATTAATAATCACTATAAGTTTCAGGTTTCGCGTCACTCCGGAGCTTCGGGATCAGCGGATATCATGTGACTTTGGATATGTATTTAAGTCTAATAATTACTATTTTTTGGCCAGAAGTCTAAATCCTTGATTATTACAAAATCAGTATTGACAATGTCTTTTCGGCCATTAATAAATAATGTTTCTCTCATCAAAATATCCATAGTTTCTTAAGATTGTTTAAAAGGTTGTTATCTGACTTTATGAAGAAAATCAGGATTTTTGCCGGATATCTATAAATTTGTTATATAGGAATTTTTTTTCATGCAGATTTGACAAACTTTTCAAGTTCTGTCAAATTATGTGGCTTATTTTTACGATTTCAAATACTTTTCTTGATCTTAGCCCAAAGACTTTTTATTGGGTTTAGGTCTGGGTTTTGTGCAGATCACGAAAGAGAGTAAATAATTTTTTCTTTACAAAATTCTATAGTTACTTTCAAACGGTAAGGTGGTACATTATCATCCTGAAACCAGTAGTCACCATTGGAAAACATATGTCATAATGTAGACAATGTATATTTACAAAGAATCTCAGTATATGATTTTTCAGTTATAGAATTACACAATGGAACTATTAGATCCACTCCTTGTCATGAAAAGCACCCCCAGTACATTCGACTTGGACTGTGCTTGATAGTTTTTGCGACACAATCCAGAAGCCACTCTTTTCTTGGTTCTCTCCAAACACAACTATTTTGAAGTTGCTGAAATTGTGAAAATATTAATTTATCACTCCATAATATTTTCAATCAATTGTTTGTTATCCAATTCTCATGTTCTTTATATTATGCTAATTATGCTTTAATATTCTTTGGCGAAATTAAAGGTTTGTATTGGGTGATACAACTTTTTAAGCCCACAAGATTAAGAGTATGACAGACAGTATGTATAAAAAATATCTGACTAGTTTTTTTTGCCAAAGAGTTTGTATTTTGTTAATTGTAAGATGACGATTTTTTTTAGTAACCATTTTCTTAAAACAGTTGCATTGTGATGCCTTGACAAGATGAGGTCGTCTGATCTGATGTTTCAGTACAGTAGAATTTGTTTTGACGTGGCATTTTACAGTATCAAAAACTGTAGTATAATCACAACCAACTCTTTCAACTATTTGGATATAAGAATCACCACAGCTGTGTCCATAAATAATGACTGCCCTCTGTGCTTCCGTTAGTTCTTTTCTCGACATTTCGTGTAGATTGCCTAAAAAAAAAAAATTAAATTAAATTAAAGTATAATAAATTAAATAAATACATAAAAAATAAAGAAAAATATAAATAAATATATATATAATTAGGACTTGTTTATAATACAATTTCATGTAAATTGAAAGTCATGGGACTTCCCAAAAAAATTTTTTTTAAACTGTTTAATGACTTTTGGCTACCCACTGTATGTTGATTTTTTTTTTAATAGCTATAAAAAAAATTTTTTTAAATACAAGTTATGTAAACATATTCTTACTTAATTAAAATTTATGTTATATAGGTTGTTGTTTTATAAAATGATGTGTAACCTAACTTTAAATGTGCTAGATTAAAATTCCAGATATTTATAATGCCTACTGTAATTCAAATGTCCCTTACTATTAAAAAAAAACTACATATAAAGGTTTTTTACAATTTAGGCTACTTGATCCAAATGTTTTTTGAATTATGTCCCTATTAAAGTAATAAATAAATAATTATGTCCCTTCAAAAGAAACATAATTGATTTGCAAAATTTTATATGCTAAATAATTTAGAGATTCATCTTTACTTCCAACCTTATACTATAGAAAAGAGTATAACAGATATCAAATCAATATGGACAACAATGTACAATAACAACTCATTTATTCTAGACAATATCAGCAAACTTCTGCTTCAACTTTTCTCAATACTATCTCTTCTATCAATCATTATTATAACAAATAACTCTCTTAACCACATATTACCCCATAACAACTACAATTTTCTTTCTCAAAAAAAAAATTCTTATTCAAAAACTCAATACAATTATACTTTATAATTCAAATGCTAATCCTTGATTATGTTTTTGGCCTATCTTATTAAAAAATGTATAGGAAACTTCAATCAACTCTATAATTCAATGCCAACTTCAAACCAAACCAAACCTAAATCTATCCGAATATATTAATTGCCAGGTTAAAATTCTATATAGTAGATATATCAGATTTATCAATATTAAAACTAAAAACAAAAATATAATACTTGAATAGATCACCAAAAAAGAACTCAAAAGCCAACCTTCACTTAATATCCAAAGTGGTATAGCAGTTTCACAAATATTTTCATAAATATAATATCTTACCACTAATTAATAATATCTATGCCACTAATACTACACAATGGATCAGATTTATCAACTACTATATCAGCTTTTTTGATATACTAATAAGCCAATCAGCAACCTATAGGCTCTTCTTGATGCTAGCACTAGAACTGATTTGCAAAACCAATAAAAAATCAAGAAAAACAATCAACTTAAATATAGAAGTCTCATAGTCTTCAGAACCAAATTGATAGCTAATCAACTTCTTATAAGAACCAAACTTCATAAAAGGTACTCTAATATATACAATAGTAATCTTTGTCTATAATATAAAGCATTTTCAGAAGATTAATTATATATCTTTTCATGCATTTACACTATATACAGTATAGTGCAAAAAAAACCAAAATCATATATTTACTTATAATTCAATAATTAATTAATTAAATTATATAAAACTTTATAAATAAGTTCTTTAATATCTTATCAATAAGTTTGTTATAAGTCATATATATAAATATAATAATAAGATTTTTTTTATTTTATCTTTAAATATAACAAAAGATAAAAAAAAAATCAATTCCCAATTTTTTTATATAGATTTTATAATAAAAAACTGTTCAAAAAATCATTCAAAAAAAAAATTTTTTTCACATTGTATCGTTTGTGAGAAAAACTACCATAAAAGAAAACTAAAAAATTTTGTCTTCAAAAAAAACACCAAGGACCCTGGGAGCTCTTCCTCCTCCAAGGTTTGCCCAAGCAACCATGAGTTTATCTTTCTGGATATTCTCATAACTGACATCTCAAATTTACAAGCAGTTATAGTTTATAAAAATACAAAAATAAACAAGATTATTGCTTCCAGCCCAGTAACAACCATCAAATTTCCCCTACTTGGAAACCACCCACAAATTTGGCTTACTCCAGTACGCTCCACCATTGATGGATCTGAAGCTCCAAAAATAATTGTTGCTTCCTTCAAATTCTATAGAAAAAGTACCTTCTCTTCTCCCACAACCGCAGTTAACATATCCCTCTTGGACCTCATGACAACGAACACTCTGAACTTATTCCTTGGCTTCCAAAACATCTTCAACATTACCGATACTGACAGACTAGAAGTTATGAAAGAAATGAACAGATTAAATCTCAACTACAAGCTTCATATACCTTGGAACAAAATCGACATCCAATTTGACAATAGTAGGAATTTTTTTTCTCTAGTCCAAAAAATCGAAACCTCCAAACCCCCTCCAAACACATCTGTACCCAATGAAGCAATGAGCGACGACAATGATATACAGGACGATTGTCCTCCCAGCGCACATTATGAACACAACAGCATGCTCAACACTAACACCAGTACAGCAGTGCATCAAACAGATATGGAAATTGATAAGCAAAGCATGAATCCAAGCCAATATGAACTAACTAACTCCTCCTTCCTCACAAATCCAACCTCATGGGCAGACGAAGTTGATGAAGCAACAACAGATAGATCAACAACCCCCTCCACTATTGAAGTCAATATCAGGAGAGCGAGCCCCCTGGACAAACACTCAAAAATTCTCGAGTTATATAGAGAAGTCAACAAATGTGACAGAAACACTGACGCAATCATCCAATAGTTCCTCAAAATAAGGAAGGATGGCCCTTCTGAAGTAAAACCAACAACCACTGCTATTATGACCAAACTTGCCTACAGAGACCACACCTTTTTCAGAATGTTTGCAAGGGACAACCTCTTCAAAGGCAAACATCAAATCAAATACAAAAACTTGGAGAAAGGATTTCACAATAACTACCTCAAAGCTAATAACATTGGTTATATCAATAGATCAACAAAGAAAAAAATCAGGGCAATAATTAACAAAGCCCTCTTCATCACATACCTCAAATCCACTGACCTTACAATCTTAAAATATTGGCAAATAGCTCAAATCCTTGACTTCAGCTTCAACTTTTTCATTGATCCCACTGTAGAAAAAATTAACTACCAAGCCATAATTCAAAAATGCAAAGAAGCAATTAAAAATAAACTCCCCACTCTTCTTACTCTTCCTGAACTTGTTCCATCCTCAATTAAAATCAAACTTTCTAAAGCCATTCCAATTATCTCTCTCTGATATACAACTGAAGTAGTTGATAGCCTCAAGGCCTTTTACAACTTTGACCGACTTCCTGAATCATACTTTGTACAAAGACCACCACTATCCAAGAATCCATTAGATATACATATTGTTGAAATTTGTAGATTCTTGACGCAATTGATGCAATTATTTGACGCAATTAATTGAGTTACTATTAAAACATATAAATAATTGAGTCATGACACAATTATTTTTGAGGATTTTGGAAATTGAGTCAACAGCAAAATAATTTATGCCACATGTATACCATTAGACCTTAAATTTGAACTTAGAAGTATTTTCCCTCTGATCAAGCGAAGTGATCTCAGAAACTTAAGAGATCTTACTGATAAATTAAGGGATCACTACTATGTTTCCTCCAAGCTACTTGAATTATACTTCAAGCTTCCCTTACCAAAAACACTTCTGCCAGCATCATATACAGAATTGCCATCTAACCTCATCTGCCATTTTCCAGTAGAAAGCAACTCTGAAAAAATTCGCTCTGCTACATAACTCCTCAGAGACAACAACTTTGCAGTTTGTTATCTTCCTTTGGATTATATTCAAGTCAAGCGCCCACTTTCACTGGCACTATGGTTCAGTGAAAACAACTCTATCTTTTTACCAATCCAGTCACAAGAGAAAGTCAAGGACTTCATTGCTACACTCAAACAAAAATTCTTCATCAAGCTGCCCTTGGGCCCTGAGTGGATCAGCAAAAACCTAATTCAGGATGAAAGACCTTACATCCCTGAAAAAGTACAAAACACTTAAAGAACAACTAAACATTACAGACGAGAAACTCCACAGAGACTTGCTAACACATTCACAAACCTTAAAAAGAATCAAAGAAACTTACCAAAGACAAATTTCCAGAGAATGAATCTCGCCAGTTCTTCTACTTTTGCCCTCCATAAAGGAAGCTAACAATTATTTGAAACAAAATGATATCAGTATTACACTGCCATTAATTGAAGACCAATATCTAGCTGGTGCCATAAAACTACTTAAAAACTACTTCCACTTCGACAGCATCTCCATCACTTTTATTATTGAAAAAGAGTCACCTGACCCAGGCCTGACTTTTTTCCCCTGCCTCTTTTAATTGTGACGACTTGCACAACCAACTTAATACCCTCTCTTATAACAACACCCCTACATTCTAGCCCTTCGTCAACTATAAAAAACCTTCTTATAATCACAACACTCAATGTTAGAGGCCTCAATCAAATAGGCAAGCTAAATGAAATCATCTATACTATTAAAAATGAAAGAGCAATCTTCTGCTGTACTGAAACAAAAATATCATCAAATTACCAGTTGCCAAATAGAATAGGAAATAAAGTCATAATAGCAAGCAAACCGAGTTTCTTTGCTAGCAATGATATATGCCTTATATTCTCTTCAATATAGCATATCACATCTTCAAAATGTATACTGAAAATGAATATTGATGTGCAACCCACCTAAAATTCAAGCCTAAGGCCGATGTTATCATAATTGCAATATATCTCCCACATGATAGAGCAGACCGTTGCACAGCAGTAATGTCTTTCAAAAACTTCCTCACCAATCACAAAAACAAACATCTTATCATCACTGGAGACTTTAATTCTTATTCAAAAGGTATCCTATCCATTAATGCTCTGACCATGCTCCACAAGCAACAGGTCTACAAGCTTATAGGAAGTTTAATTGATATTGCCAAAGTCACCAACAAGAAGCACCAATACACATATATCACAAACTCCAGTGCCTCAAGACTGGACCAAATCTGGATCTCTGTAAACTTAACAAGCAAAGTGCTGAGTTACAAAGTGTCTGATCAATTATTCATCCCTATAGATTACAAAATGATCACTATTGTTCTTGACTGGTTTGAATATAGATCTGATCGTATCTCTTTTACTACCAAAATCTATCAATTTGACAAAGCAACTAAAGAACAACTACAAGCTATGCAGGAGTCTATTGAACTTGCCTGCACCGGAGCAAACAACCTTTCATGGGATGAAGTTAACTTAATTTTTAAAATAGCTATGAGCAGCAATATTCCCTTTAAGCAACAAACAACACTTATATTACTGGCCAGGGCATACTCCCAGTATAATAACAACATCAGATCAGCAAAAATAGCAATAAAAAAGATTCGTAACAATAGAATACCTCACAAGCTTCCACAAATAGGATCAATTATCCTTGGAAACCTTACTAGCCAATCACCATCCATTAAAACCCTTAGAAAAGTTATCAAAGTCCTCCTGAATGAAAAAATAGAAAAAGCAAGGCAGCTCACAATTGACGAGATCTGACATTGTATTGAAAAAAATTTTCCCAAATTTTGGGAGAAACCTAAAGCAGCAATTAAAAAAGCCCTGGGGGACCTGAAACTATCCCTAGATCTCTCTATCCTATCAGATGGAAACAAACTCCATGATGACCCCAACAAGCTCAATGAAATCATCATCAACCACTTTAAAAATATCCTGCGCAGCAAGCCTTTTAGTCTTGACCAGCAGTGGTTATCTGAATATGCTCTCAAGGATTCTATTCTCCCCAGTACCTTCGACAATGCAACAACAGAAATCACGATAGATGAAATTAATAGTGCACTTGCTAATCTTCCCAAAAGAAAGTCACCTGGTCTTACAACAATCCCTTATGAGCTGTAGTCAAACCTGGGCCCATCTGCAAAAATGCATATTAAAAAACTTTTTAACTCAGTCATAAACTCTGGCAATTCTCCTATTCACTGGAAACACTCAGTTGTCACTTTTCTGTAAAAAAAAAATAGTCTGGTCTCATGAACTAGCAGATACCCGACCAATTTCTCTAATCGAAACTAGCAGGAAAATTTTTACTAAAATCATTAATACTAGGCTGTCTGAAATCATCTGCAAAAACAAAATCCTATTAGAAAACTCCTTTGCAGATCTCAAAAATCAAAGTATCATGGAACCTCTAGCCATAATTTCATTTGAACTTGAAGCCGCAAACAATTTCAACAGAGAACACTGGATCGCCTCCTTTGACATCTCTAAAGCTTTTGACTCTATAAACCTTGATAGTTTGAAAGCAGCCATGAAATGAATCAAGCTTTTCCCACAAATAATCACATTCGTCTTAAACCTTTTTCACAATCGCAAATTAAGCTTCATAACATATTACAAACTCTTCGATCCATTAATAGTAAGTAACGGTCTAGACCAAGAAGAAACCCTGGCACCCTTACTTTGGATCATCTTTTATAACTCCATGGTATCCAAAATAACAAAACGACTGTCTAACAAAGCTTGAATTCTGACATACATAAATGATGCTGCTATCTCAAGCAGCTCCTTACAAAACTTGCAAAGAGCCACAGATCTGTTCTGATTCTTTCTTGAGTTAAACAATATCAAGTGCAACAAGAAAAAAACAAACCTTATAATCAACCTTAAATCTTCGCATCCAAGTAGACAGAACTCTCTACTAGTTGAAGATGAACCAATTCATGCCAAACCATATAACGAAGCCATCAAATACCTTGGTATTTTTCTTTCAGGAAATTCCTTCAACTGTGCAACTCAAAAAGCTTTCACCAAAAAAATTAAAAACCTCATATTGGCTATAGCAACACAAAAATCATGAAATGGGCAAATCACCAAACAAGTATCTTACTGGATCATTTCTGCACAACTGAAGTATGCTATACACATTTCCTTCACAACAAACAGTGAAATAAATTTTCTCCAAGTCAAACTCAACAAAGCAACAAAATCAAAGCTTGGCATCGAGCAAACAATTTCTAACAAAATCATCCACTCCAAAGCAGGCTTAGACCTAGTCAACTTGTAAAACAAAAGAGACATTACAGCAACCAAACTTTTGGTCACAAGGCTCACCAACCCAGCAACCTTCCAGTTTACCAAACATGAAATCACATCAATACAAGCTGCACACGCCATCTGGTCATGTCCTATTTGCTTCCTACAGTTATTCAAAAACTCATGGCTAACGCAAGTAGCCAAAATTGCTATCAAATATCACATCAATGTCTGCTCCAATTCATGTCTATTCAACATGCCCAATCATGAAGTCTCAATCAGCCAACTCACAAAAATCAGCAAAAAAACAGCTCTGTCCCTCTTCTTCTCTAATATCAAAATCCTTTTCAATATACTTGGTTTCAATAAGTCCTCCAAACTCACTTGGCAAGAACTCCACACTCACAAAAACTTCATCACCAAAGGCCCCATACCTTATTGGTTTACTAGTCTAACAAATATATCACCACCACTCATTAATAATACTTCACCCCTATCAAATCTGAGTCCCAGATTTTGGAGCTTCCTGGAAAATAATCATCTAAGCTTTATCAAAGTAAGACGCAATGCCATAATTTGACCCTCACTCATTGAGAGACATTATGTTCTTGCTCCAGGCAACAAACACATTACTATTTGCTCTTGCCCAACACAATCTTGCCTTAAGAGCAAATACCTCAGTGAACTCAAATCAACTTGGACTATAAAATACAACAGCTATCATGAACTTCTCAACAATGTCAATGAACTGATTTCAATTCTCATCCCCATATCTACGCACACTTCTCAGCTAATAATACAACCACCTTCAACTAATAATCAGCTGACAACTCACTCCACTATCATTGTACACTCTAATGTTATTGACATCCGAATCAGCACCCTTCTGCTCTCCTATTCCAATAACTCCAATATCTGGACAACCTTCTGACCAATTCTTCTTCAAATGGTAATCAACTCTGGATCCAACACCCACATAGTCTGCAAAGTTCCATCTAAACCTGACCTTTCACATTCCAGAATATATTAACAGACAAGTCAAAGTCTTATTCTCCAGACTTATTAGCAGAATCAATAGAGAAACCACTCTCAAAAGTTTAACCATCACATGGGATAAGCTCAAACTTACCACCAAACTAATATTCCAAGCAACGCCTCTTTTAACCTCACCAATCATGCCACCTATATTTTTTTCATCATCACCGCTTATTAACAATGTTAACATAACAAGTATAACCCATTGGATCAAATTTGTGAATCTCTACTCAAACATTTATGACTTTACCCTTAGCCAATCAGCAATATACAAGCCCACTTTATTTGACCAGTTTGAGAACATTATCAATGCCAACAAAAAGCTCAGGAAAAGTGACTTACCTAAATACAGATCTCTCTCCACCTTTTGAATCAAATTTCTAGCTGATCAGCTTCTCACAAGATCCAAACTCCATAAGAAATACCCCTCACTTTATCCTGACAACATCTGTCCAAGGTGTGACACTGAAGAAGAAACT